CCTTAGGCAGCATTCTTTCTTCACAGTGGCTAGCTCACTTTTCTAAACCTACTCTAAACCGACTCTGCTATCCTACTCACACCTGTGCTCTGCAGATGGCCCTCTGCATTCTTTACAGATCAAGACTACCTCAGCTTTTTGCCATCGAAGCTGTTTGCTCTTTGCCTGTTTTCTGGATATGGCCGGTATAAATAAGTATATGCACGCACACACCCCGCTCCGTCAAGCCCATGTCCCTCTTAGAGCCATCTGTTGCCGTCTCCCCCAGAGCCAGACGCCTTCAGACGTGTCTGCCCCTCCTCCACGTCTGCTCTTCTTCAGCTTGCTTCGCTGCGACTGCTGCAGTCCCGGCTTTCCTCTGAGGCTCCTCGGCCAGGGTTGTGTATGATCATCTTTGCACCTGTTCTAGTGGGCTGCACTTAGGCCCTCCTCTTAGCGTGCCACTCTGTCGGGCATTGTAGGCACTTCTGCCGAGAAATGCTCCTTATGGTGCCCTGGCTTCCTGTCTTCAGGTTTTCTTTCTGTCTCTTGCTTGACTTTGGTGAGTGCCTCTTCCTACGCCCATCTCTTAGTTAGTGGTGTTTGTCAGGGTTCTGTTTTAGGCCCCCTTCATTCCTCTGGATGAACTTTACCTTCCCCACTATTGGGAGGACTTACTTATTATTTCCTCTCTAGACTGCTGACCTGAGCTTTAGAACAGTAGTACCTTCAACTGCTTGTTGAGCATCTCAGAAGCATGTCATCATCATGCCCTAAGCAGCCACCCTCACATGTCCACTGGAGCACTGAATGCCACCAGTGACCTACATCAGAAACCTTGGCATCAGTTTTCCCTTCGCCTGATTTCCAAGGTTACTCGCCGTTTGTTCTTATAGAAATACAGACTGTTCCTTCTTTTGTTTCTTTCCTGGTTCAGCCATAGTCAGTCCTCACCCTGGAAACTGTAGCAGTCTAACTGGCTTCCTTGCCTCTAGTATTTCTTGTCCCACTACTGGTTCCATTTCCATATTTGAAAAAATTTTAAATTCAAAGTCCGATCATGTTACTCCTCTGCTGAAATCCTTCATTGGTTTCCTACTTTTCAAGGTCAAGTCCAGACTCCTTACCCATGATCTGACCTCTGCTGACTTTACCAGCTTATTTCTGATTACTTTTTTTTACCAGTGTCATCCCAGATCTCACCCCAGAGGGTGATTTTCACCCTAAAGGGCTGCACAGGGTTCCTTGCGTTACTTTGCTTCACCTGTGCCCACTCTTCCCTGCGCGCTCAGTGTCCTTGATTGTTCCCCAGTCTAGGAAACGGTCCTTTTCTCTGTGCGTGTAGAGCATTCTTTGCCTCCCTCTCAGCCTAGTTTTCCAGCCATAATGCCAGTGGATTGGGTTTTGGTATCCTTGAATATATTGTAAGCTTCTTGAGGGTGGAAACTATGCCTCCCTTGTTTGTTCCCTGTAGCACTGAGCACAGTGCATTTGCTGTTGTTCAGTCGCTTAGTCATGTCCAACTCTTTTGTGACCCTCATGGACTGTAGCCCGCCAGGCTTCTCTGTTCATGGGATTTTCCAAGCAGTAATACTGGCGTGGGTTGGCATTTCCTTCTCCTGGGATCTTCCTGACCCAGGGATTGAACCCATGTCTTCTGCTTGGCAAGCGGATTCTCAACCACTGAGCCACCTGGGAAGCCCAAGCACAGTGCATGGCATGTTAAGTAAATATTTACTTTAGAAATAAATAGATGAAGTATACTGTTAGAGCTGCGCACAGCAAGTCTGATTGAAATATTGACTGGGAAAGCTGAAGGTTTGGAGAAAAGGGAGCCTGTCAATTTGTATTTCTCCCGAGCAGTGCAGGTGGAACTGTGTGTGTGACAGCAGTCTAACTGCAGCATTGAAGGAGAAATGAGACAAAAGACTTCACCACAAACGAAGTAGTGGGGTCAGAGCAAGAATCTCGGTTTACCAAATCCAGGCTTAACCAAGTTCCACTTAAGCAACCGCCCTAGATTTCACAAAACTGGGTTTGTCTGGTGGATGTCACCTTTGCATGCTTGTAGAGTTCAACATCACTACCCATACCACACAGAATCCTATCTGTTCTTTAATACAGCAGGGTAACAAGCCCATGTGCTGTGTGTTCAGACACTCAGTTGTGTCCAACTCTTTGTAACCCCGTGGATTGTAGCCCGTCAGGCTCCTCTGTCCATGGATTTCTCCCAGCAAGAACACTAGAGTGGGGTGCCGTTTCCTCTTACAGGGGATCTTTCTGACCCAGGGATTGAACCTGGGTCTGTCCCATCTCCTGCATTGGCAGGGCGGATTCTTTACCACTAGCACCACCTGGGAAGCCTGCTAACAAGCCTGTGCAGACTGTAACACAATTTCAGTCACTGGTTGTGTCTAGAAGACTTTAATCTTCTGTTTTCTCATTTATGCATCAGTTTCAGTTGAAGAAAAAAAGTAAAAATAATATTAAAGAATTGTAAAAAAGACCCACAATCATATTCAAATTCCCTTACTTTTCATAGTTTTTAACCAGCACATACATATTTTTAGTGTTATATGTAACTCTGTGTGTTATATTTTCCCCAAGTTTCTACATAGCAATCTGGTGAGTATCATTTGACATCATGACTCGGCTTATTTAAAGTGTAAATTTTTATTTTCTGTAAGGCTAAATTCTCAGAGGTGAGGTTATAAGGTCAGAGGGTATATAAATTATAAGTCTTTTTAACTTGTGGGACTGTCCAAAATTTTAAAAAAGGATTACACTACAGGTTTGCAGAAGTATGAAAGTACAAGGTTTGTCTTGACCTTGAAGCATAGATATGAGCAAGGCGAGAAGGGAAGAGAGAGTTGTGCATATAAAATCTTATTTATATTGGTTTAGTTGACCTAAAGATCCTCTTGATGAGGATGAAAGAGGAGAGTGAAAAAGCTAGCCAAAAATTCAACATGAAAAAAAAAAAAGGCTAAGTTCATGGCATCCAGTCCCATCATTTCATGGCAAATAGAAAGGGAAAAAGTGGACGTAGTGACAAATTTTATTTTCTTGGGCTCCAAAGTCACTGTTCAGTGACTGCAGCCATGAAGTTTAAAGCTACTTGCCCCTTGGAAGGAAACTATGACAAACCTAGACAGCATGTTAAAAAGCAGAGACATTATTTTGCCAACAAAGATCTGTCTGGTCAAAGCTATGGTTTTTCCAGTAAGTCATGTATGAATGTGAGAGTTGGATCATAAAGAAGGCTGAGCACCGAAGAATTGATGCTTTCGAAATACGGTGCTGGAGAAGACTTGAGAGTCCCTTCAACTGCAAGGAGTTGAGTCAGTCCTAAAGGAAATCAACTCTGAATATTCATTGGAAGGACTGATGCTGAGGCTCCAGTTCTTTGGCCATCTGATGTGCAGAGGCAGCTCACTGGTGGGAAACTAGTGAGGCAACCCTGATGGTGGGAAAGATTGAAAGCAAAAGAAGAGGGCAGCAGAGGATGAGATGGTTAGATAGCATCATCAACCCAATGGACATGAGTTTGAGCAAACTCTGGGAGATAGTTAAGGACAAAGGAGCCTGGTGTGCTGCAGTCCATGAGGTCTGAAAGAGTCAGACATGACTTAGTGACTGAACAACATCAACAGTTGTTGGAATTTTTTTTTAAAATAGGGAGAAACAATTTTGTATCAGATGACAATATATTTAAATAAAAATACATCTTTAAAGAGTAAATGAAAATTTATACTCATTGCAACTCTGTTTCTTCCATGTTTACTCCTAGATATTCTGAAATTCATCCTAAGTCAGAACTTATTCAATAGCTGAATAAATAGGTTTTTCACTCTTTGTCTCTGTTATTTTTTTTTTTTTTTTGGCTGTGACATGCAGGATCTTAGTTCTCCCAACTAGGTATTGAACCTGTAACCCCTGCACTGGGAGTGTGAAGTCCTGTCTCACCGGAGGAGCGCCAAGGAATCCCTCTGAATTTTAACTCTTTTTAGAATTGTTTAAACAGCTGTGTACTTTGGTGCTATGCCATTAACCTGTTTTGAGAGTCAGTTCTACTAAACTCATGTTTAGTGTTAGAAAATGCATTTTATTGCACCATGGAATAGATGCTTTGTGAAGATCTTTGTGAGAATGTCCTTACAGGCCCCAGTGCTTTCCAGGGTGAAGCATTGTGTGGTGCTTTTTGTCTAATGAAGAGTGTCAGCAACGTATAGGTTATATATTTCAGTTTTTCAGGGCAAAAATTGCTATTTGCTTCTAGTCTTCCTTTTAGATGCTGTTTTGGGTCCATTCCCCCCCCCCCCCCCCCAACCATAGATCAAACCTGCACCATCATCAGTGATGGTGCAGAGTCCTAACACTGGACTGCCAGGTAATTAATTCCCTTGGGTTTGATTTTGTCAAATCTGGATTCCTGGAGAGAAAACTGTTAAAATTGTTTAAAATCGAGAGAAAATTATTAAATCTTTTGTAAGGTTTCCCAGTGTAACTATGATATTAATAGTTCTTTTATTTACTCCATTTGTGCCTTTGAGCTTGCCTGGTTTAGAATTTTGTTATATTAAAATGATAAGCAGTGGAGAACCCCTTTGACCTGACTGGAGACAAACCTACCCACAGGTCATTTAAAAGCAGAGTAGAATTCAATGCAAAAAGCATCACAAAATAGAGTATTACGGCAGTTTATATACACCTACATTTGTGTACACAACCTTGTCAGAGTACTCTAGTTTTTTTCTCCTAAGGAATGGCAGTAGAAAGCAAGAGGATTGGAGTTCTTAGTCTTATGTACTTTGGTGTTGTCTGAACATTCTTTTAACAATCAGTCTATATTGTTTAGTTTCTTTAATTTGACAAAGGTAACAGTTTCATGGAGGCAAGCTTTTATAAGGGCATTCTGTTTTAGTGACTAAACTGAGAGGAGAAATCCATCAATGTGATGTTTCTGCTGTTTTAAGGAATCAAAACGTAGTGCTTAGTTTTTTCTCCCCTTTCTCTCTCAGGTCATTTGGATCCAGGATTCCTAGCAAGTGAGAAAACATCTGCTGGCAATGCACCACTCAATGAAGAAATTAATATTGCCTCTTCAGATAGTGAAGTGGAGATTGTGGGGGTTCAGGAACATGCAAGGTAGGAAATTAATTGGAGAGAAGAAAATGGTATGGCATGCCATGGCATGGCTGGCATGAATGTTGGGAGCTATTTCTCAGCTTCCTGTAGTTTAAGAAATACATTTTGATTATGGACACTTGGTGGGCTTCAGAATGTATTGCAGATTGTCTTATATCAGAAACATCTTGGCCTCACATGTATGTGAACCAGAACTAATGTTTTTGTCTTATTTTTAGCAAATGGCTAGATGTCTTAACGGATTTTTCTGTTATGGCAGAAGTATCGCCATACTTCTCCCCTTCTCCCATATTTTCTTGCCTTTCAGTTTATCTTGAAATATATCAGGAACAAATAATTGGAAAATCTGCATTTGACATCACACCTCTTCTTAGAGCACCTCTCCTTATCTCTCATGAAAAGTTACAAGTTACTTTAGTCAGTTCCTAACAGTTTATTTCTGGTGATGTTCATGTGATTTAGGGTATCTTATTTCTCAGGAATTAAAAAAGCTGTAAGACATTGAATTAGTGTGCAGTAGTAGCACAGAGTCGGACATGACTGAAGTGACTTAGTCACAGCAGCAGCAGTGTAAAAATAATTTTGTGAAGTTTGTCATTCTTTAAGATAAGAGTGAGCAAACTGTAGCCCACGGGCCAAATCTGGCCTGATGCGTCTTTTTATATGGACCTCAAGCTGAGAATTGTTTCTGCGTTTTCAAATGGTTGGGAGGTAAAAATCAAGACATGGTTTGACATGAGAAAATTAAATGAAATTCACATACAATTTATTTATCCATAAATAAAGTTTTGTTAGAACAGACCGTGCTTATTTACTTACATACTGCCTATTTTATACTCCAGTGGCAGAATTGCGAAGTTTCTTCAGACACCTTAGGGTCCACAGGGCCAAAGATATTTATTGTCTAGCTCTTTGCAGAAAAAAATTTACTGACTCTTCCTTTAAGATATGGTCCTAAGAATTAGTTGCAGCCCTGTCAGAGATATATGTGAGGAACATTTAGCACACACATGTAAAACAAAATCTTGTCTTTGGAAAAATCTGTAGTGAACAATTTTTCTCCTGTGCCACAAGAATTATGATTTTGTGATTTCCTCAAGTAGGTATATAAGATAGTATCTTGCCTTATTTTTAGATCTGATTTTAATCTTTGGTTAGCAAGATAATAAAACATTCACCAGCACTTACTTCTTCCGTTGGCTTATTTAAAAGGTGCATTTAAGAGTGGAGAAGTGGGGGGAAAATACACATGCACATAAATTGAGGAATCCTTTTTCTAATGAGAACTGATTTTACTTTCTGAAAGGACTTTTTAGTTAAACAGTTGGGGCTTTAAGGGTGTAGAGTTAAGTCGTAATTTCACAAGCCATCTCCCCATAAGTGGCTAATTCTCTATCAGAACACTTTACCTTCTATCTTGTATTTATCCCATAAGTGTGTCTGCTTCCATTTTTCTTGTCTTTCTAAATGGTTATGTTCCCCTATTCTGGTGGGAAAGAACTTTCATTCTTTAACCTTTCCTTTACCTCATTCTTCTCTTCCTTAATAAAAAACTTTTTCCTATTACGTTCTCTTTCATTTTCTCACGTATTTTCTTCTAGCTGACTTATTCATCAGATGAAGAAGATAGAACTCCCGATTTCTTCCTTCAGCATACATTTGTCATTATTTTTTTTCAGCACTGTATAATTATAAAAGGCCTTATTAGACTTTTAGGCCCCATGTCAAGATCTTTCTAGAATATGATAGTATTTTCCATTTCTGTCTCTATACTATAAAACTTATTCTGCCTATTGACTGATAGATTGATGTAGGTTAATTATCTTCTATTGTGCCAGGAGCACATTATCCAGTTACCAAACTTCCTCTTGACTTACTTTTCAAATTTTAATTCTTGTTACTCATGTGTTCCTACTTAAGTAGGAAAGAATAGGTCATTACCTGTGTTTTCTGTTTAAATTCTTGCTCATTCTGAGACATATCACTTGGTCCAGTTCCCTATTAACTCCTGCCAATTCTCCCTTCTTTTCTTTGTGCCTAGAAATGTTACAGATGCTATGCTTCTTTTCAGGGACTTCCCCCAGTGGCTCAGCAGTAAATACTCTGCCTGCAATGCAAGAGACACGGGTTCAATCCCTGGGTCAGGAAGGTCCCGTGGAGGAGGGCATGGCAACCTGCTCAGTATTTCTTGCGTGGAGAATCCTGGAGTCTGGTGGGCTACAGTCCACAGGGTCGCAGAGTCGGACATGACTGAAGTGACTGAACACACACAGCCTTCTTTTCAGATTCTTTAACTTTCCTTTCATAATGAAATCTTCAGCTTATTTTCCTACCAATGTTTTTGTTATCTGGAGTTGAAATTATATTATTTCTGTTAAAACTTGTAGATTTAAATTCTAAGTTTCTCTCACCTTTAGTACACACACATACTAAAAGATTATCTTTAGTAGACCCTTCTCTGAACTGTTATTCAGATTGTCATTTTATTCTATGAACAAACATACTTGTTTCAGTCTTCACTAAGTCAAATGACTTTGGGTACATTTTAAATAACATGCTATAGTATTACTTTTGAGGACTTTTTCTTACGAGGCTCTGAAATATAAAGATGTGTTTTTGTTTTAAATTCTGATCTTTTAGTTTGAATCATATCTTAGCAGTAACAGCTTTATCTTAAAATCTCAGTGTTGGTTAATAACTGTCCATGCAATGGAAGATAGGTAGAGTTGACAAATTCTGCTGGAGTATTTTGAATGGACTCTTTTATCATTATGAGGGGATCTCTTATTTTGGCCCTTGGTCTAGGAATGAGTAGAATCTCACTGACTGTTGTGCCTTTCTCAAAAATTTTCCAGCAGTTTTATTTAGAAGAAGCCTGATAGTCTTTCAAACATTGAGGTTAAAAAGCTGAGAAGCAGGTTGGGGGGTGGGGGGGTAAGAGGCTTTCTTATTGGTTGCTTCGAAATTGCCCCTTTAGCTGGCTGTATCTCATCTGGAATTTGTTTCTTTTACAGGTCTAGGGTTGCAGTTATGAAGTATTGATGGGCTTCTGGCAGGGTTATCGCTTGGAAGAAGGTTTTAGGTTTTGATCCACATCTTTGTGTTCTAATTTGATTTTTTGCATGCATAGATGTTTTGTTTGGATTTAGTTGTCCTTTTCTTGTTTTTCCTTTTGGTATTCTACCTTGTGGACTTTCTGAGAGCTTTAAAAAAAAAAAACTCAGACTTCGTTCTTGAGTTGTTCTCTTTGGGGCTGTGGTTCTGACTTGCATCGGATACCATTTTTCCATATTAGAAACATTCTGTTTTGTTGACCTTTGCCCTCAGTAATTCTGGTTATGATGTGCCTTTTTTTTTCCAATAAATAGTCGTTTTTCTTTTCTTGCATGCTAATGTCTTTCCCTGCTCTTTCATTTTAGATTTTGACATAGTCACTTAGCTTATGAGTTTCTTCTAGTTATAGGCTAGAAAGCATGCTTTCTTAACTTGAATGCGTCTTTTATGGCTGCCTTGGATTGCCGTGATGAGCTCTTGTCATTGTCTACATGTCATTTCTAGGTGTTATTTTTGGACAGTCCAGTTTTATAAGATGCTGTTCGCTAGTGAGATGGGAACTTCTCTAAAATCTCTAGTTCTTCTGCACCCACTTAATTTTGCCATAAGTTTTAAGTTATGACCCTGTCTTGCCAATATTTTTCTTTATCCTTTGTCCTTTTTCCTTCTTTCCTTCTACCAGCCTCATTGGTAATTCCCCTAGGGAGATGAATGCATGTAGCATGGGTCTTTATGTTATGGAACTGTGTCGAAACAGTTCTTTCAGTACTTGTTCTCTGAAGCTTTTATGAATAATCAGACTCTTACGTCCTTTCACAAACATGGTCCTGTGGTCATTGGTTAATGTTGATTCACCCATCAGCAGAAGAATTAGTGTGGGAAGGCTTTTGCATGTAAGACTGATTGTATCCTAGAACCACTTGCTAACATTAACCCTAAGAAAGCAAGGGGGGTGGGTAAGCATTTCCCTGAAGCCACAAGGATTCACTCCACCTTCAGTTCAGAAAAATAAGTAGGAATGTTATCTAAGAGGTCACCTTCAGGATCTGTAAATGAGAACAAAAAATGATTAATTTTTAATGTTGTTTTCTTAGAATAGTAAGTTAACTGTATCAACAGCTGATCATCATCAGACCCTGCCCTCTTCCTGTGTTTCTCTTCCTTTCTACTCCAAAGTCTCTCCTTTCTTGGTTTTAGTGTATGAAGAGCAGGAAATTATTCTATCAGAACTTACTGTTTATAAATAGTGGATTGGTGGGGGAAATGGAAGTGAGGCCTAAGCAGTTTTTCTTGGCTATAAGACTCAAAATGTGACTCGTTTTGTAGACGTGTTGTCAGTCATATGCAGATTAAATGCTTTGTGAGGAAAAAGCTTGTGTCTGCACTAGAATCTGATTGGACCGATTGTAAAACAGATGAGTATATTCCCACCCATATCTTTCATAATAGAAAAAGGATATGTTCTAATACATGGAGCTGTTTTATGTTAGTTAACCTTCCCAAATTTTGAGCTTCTCACATCCTTCTTTTTTAAAAAATGTATTTTTATTATTTATTTATTTGACTGCACCAGATCTTAGTTCCTGCATGCAGGATCTAGTCCCCTGACCAGGGATCAAACCTGGGCCCCCTGCATTTGGAGGGTGGAGTCCCAGCCTCTGGACCACCAGGGAGGTCCCTCACATCCTCCTTTATAGGGCATCTCTGTGGGATTAGTAACAGTTGTTGTGGTCCCATGTCTTCCTGAATTTTTTTTCCTTTTTATCTAACTTATTCTGTAATGTACCATCTTACAAAATAGAGCTTGACCTTTTTCCCTCTGTACTTAAAAACATGTGTTAAAAGTCTTGTTCTATCCTCATCCATCTCCTAGCTACCATTTTATTTAAAGTGGTTGAGGTCTTAAATCGTAAAAAAGTTTTTGCATGTTTTGGCTTTTAACACACAGAGAAAAGCTGTAAGTTTGCATTCTAGCTTTTGTACCCAGACCCAAGTAACCAGCACTCAGAACAAGAAACAGAAGTTCCCCTGTGCCACTTATTCATTATACCTTCCCCTGGCCCCCACCTTGTCCCCATAACTACTGTCCTGACTTCTAACAGGAGAGTTTGCCTATATTCAGAATCTTATTAACGTTCCTGAGAGATGCCTCAGCAATTACTTAAATGTTTAAAAGGCAGATTATTCTGTTTTGTGTAGTAATGACCATTCAAAACTTGCCTTCTAGAAAACGACTCATGGTTCTTACTATGCTTTCAAGATTGTGTACATGGAGGAGCTGCCTCCCATGGTGATTCTCCCTTCTTTGGCAGCTGCCCTTCAGTTGCAGTTAATAGGAGACAGGGAAGTGTTTGACCAAAGAAAGGATCATCACGTTCTCCAGAGAATCTAAAATTTTGAAGAGAAACAGAGTAAGAGGATTGGTTGTTGTTATTGTTCAGTAACTAAGTCGTTTCCAACTGTTTGCGACCCCATGGACTGCAGCACACCAGTTTCCCCTGTCTTTCATTACCTCCCAGAGTTTGCTCAGATTCATGTCCATTGAGTCAGTGATGCTGTCCAACTATCTCATCTTCCGCCACCCTCTTTTCCTTTTGCCTTCAATCTTTCCCAGCATCAGGGTCTTTTCCAATGGGTTGGCTCTTCACATCAGGTGACCAAAGTGTTGGAGCTTCAGCTTCAGCTTCAGCCCTTCCAATGAATTCAGGGTTGATTTCCTTTAGGATTTACTTGTTTGGTTGAGACTTCATCAGCTCCATGATTTGGAAGCATCAGTTCTTCAGTGCTCAGGCTTCTTTCTGGTCCAACTCTTACATCCATTCATGACTTCTGGAGAAACCATAGCTTTGATTAGACACACCTTGGTCGGCACACTGATGTCTCTACTTTTTAATATGCTATCTAGGTTTGTCATTGCTTTCCTTCCAAGAAACAAGCGTCTTTTAATTCCATGGCTGTAGTCTCTCTCTGCCGTGATTTTGGAGCCAAATAAAATAAAATCTGTCACTGTTTCCACATGTTTCCCTTCTGTTTGCCATGAAGTGATGGTTCTTTGAGGTGCTTAAGTAAAGGTGACTTCCAATAAATTTTCTCTTTTGCTTAAAGTAGCCCAATTTGTTTTCCAATAACTGGAGCTATATATGATGTAACTACAGAAGTGGTTTAGTTTATATAGCTGAAGAAATGCCTTATCTCCTTATTATGTCTCCTTCAACCTTTCCTCATTAATAAATATCCTCTCTAAACCTCTCACTCTCCTACTCTAGACACTTTCTAGAATCTGCTTTGCTTTTTGTTGTATTATTCCTAGGGGCTAAGCAGTTCTTCTTACGATAAAACATAGTGTATAATAATACTTCAGGTGCAGTCTGGGAAAGACATGGTTATTTATTTGGAAATAAACTCCCCAGAGGATAATTTTGTTCTGGTTCCATGCTTTACTTTCTTAAGACCTTGGGAAGTTGTCTTTTGGTCTTGGTTTTCTCTTCTATAAAATGGGAAGATTGGATTAGGTCCTTTTTAAAGCCACTCCTTGATATCCTGATGTTACACTGTATGATTACTTTAGGAGCAATGCAAAGTAATAGTTGGGAGTAAATACTGCTTTTATTTCAGAATTATTTCTTGCAGTTCTGTCAGAGATTACATTGACTTTTTTTGGATAGCTTTACATTCCCTGATTTTTCTAAGTTTCCAACCAGCTTTTACTTCAATTACTGCTTGTATAAATGAGCATTTGAACTGTTGAAGAACTTTATATTTTTAAATTGTTGGTCTGGGTCTGTCTTTGCACCCTGCTGACTCTTTCATGTTTTGCCTTACCCAGCTTAATACACACCTTTTTTTTTTTTTTTCACACCTTTGTTAAGTGACAACATTATGTTGTGGAAAGCATTGGACCAGAAATCAGACTTGGCCTGAAGTTCTCTTGCTTACACTTTCAAACAGTGTGACCCTGAACAAGTCATGTAATCTCTTTAATCCTCAGTTTCCCTGTCAGAGTATGGATAATAGCTTCCACATCTACTTCATGGGTCTGTTGGGTATTCAAATGGAGAAACTGCTTAATAATTTTGGTATTCTGTTGTCATCAGTCATCAAAACCATTTCTTTAAAATGTTGAATGGACTCCTTTGACTGACTTTCCTCTATGACTTGATCATTTAATCTCAGTGTATTTAAAGAGTGGACAGGTTTGGATGAGACTTTGGGTTTTGGTGTGTCTTATTTTAATGCTTTTCACTAGCTACTCTTTGAAAATGTGGTGGCCTCTGGGTTAGTAGCTGCTTGGCTCATTCTGGAAAGATGATGGCCCTCCGATAACTATAACAAGTCCACATTCTATCCCTACTCTGGCCCCAAGGGGTCTGTTTCTTGGCACCTCTCTTGGGAAGGGAGTCCTTTTCAGGCTGGACTTTGCAGGAGCTGGGCCTCTTTCCGTGATCTTAAGGATCCTCAGGGGCGGTTCTATAGCTAAACTTCGTCTGTGCATGCACGCTCAGTCTCTCAGTCATGTCCCAGTCTGCGACCTCATGAACTATGACCCACCAGTCTCCTGTGTCCGTGGGATTCTTCTGGCAAGGATACCGGAATGGGTTGCTATTTCCTTGTCCAGGGGGTCTTAACCCAACCAGAGAGCGAACCCACATCTCCTGTGTGTTCTACATTGGCAGGCACGTTCTTTACCACTGAGCCACCTGAGAATGCCAAATTCAAACTGAAACACCATCAGTTCTCCTGCTTCTAAGCCTTCAGACTCAGATGAAACTACACCCTTGTCTGTCCTGGGCCTCCAGCTTATTGACTGCAGACCTGGGAACCTCTCAGCCGTCATGAATTCCTTATAATAAACTTTGTCTATTGTTACTCTGTTTCTTTTGAACCTAGAGGTGCAGGTGGCATGGAATGGAAATTGGAGTTCTGAGGTGACTAAGCATCACTCATTGTATACAGATTGTCAGAACAGCTGCTTGCGATCCACTGTAGTAGTTTGTGTGATTAGAATCACGCCACTTGCCACTTCTCAACGTGTATTGCATAGTGATAGGTCTTAAAATTGAGATGTGACAGCATAAGGAGCCGTGATAGCTTGTGCTGCTTGCTTTCCTCTCGTTTGAATCAAAACTTACTCCGTGGCTCATCCTGGAGAGAGGTTTCTTGGTTCTCTCATTTGACTGAAACGTGCAATTCAATCTGGAGGTATTTCTGAAACAATTCTCTCCCAGTCGGTGAACTTTGAGATATGTCAGCTTGGCAGTTCTTTCACTGTTATAGAACACTTTTAAAGAATCTAAGCTAAGTACTTAAGCCTTGTTATTTTCACTGAATTAAAGAATAAGTGTTTGTGATGAACTAGCCAGATTTTTCTGTTGTCACCTTCAAGATGAGGAAAATTGATCTTTAATTCATGTTGTTGTTGTTTAGTCGCTAAGTTGTATCTAACTCTTTGTGACCCCATGGACTATAGCCTGTCAGGCTACTCTGTCCCTGGGGTTTCCCAGGCAAGAATGCTGGAGTGGGTTGCCATTTCCTTCTCTAGGGGATCTTCCCAACTCTGGGATCAAACCCACGTCTCCTGCATTGGCAGGCAGATTGACCTCTGAGCCACTAGGGAATCCTCTTTAACTCATGACCTAGTACTTATGTAGACATTTAGAAATCTAATTTGTAAAAGAGGTATTACTGTTAACTGTTTTTGAAAGTAATATTAACAAATATGGCACAGAACTTATTTTAAGAACAGATTTCACCTATATTTCTTATTGTTTCATTTGCTCAGACTAATTGGGCATCTTAATTTTGCTTGGGATTTATATTCTGCCCTATCCTGAAGATCCCAGAGACTAAATGAATTCAGAGAAGCAACATCTTGTCCGTTATCAGTAAGATCTAGACATAACTCAGGAGCTTGTGACTGAGACAAGGCTTTTGGCATTTCTTAGACTACACTGAGAGAGGCAGGGAGACAGACAGACCGACATAGAGGGAAGAAGGAAAAGGGGGAAGGATATTGGTTGTGGGTTTTATGAACTTGTATAGTAAGCTTATCTTGGGAAAAATATTAATACAACTGAAGCCATATTGCCTTCGGTTTTTCTCTGGTAGGGTTAACCATGCTTTCGCTCTTCATCTCGATTGCAGGTGTGTTCATCCTCGAGGAGGTGTGATTCAGAGTGTTTCCTCATGGAAGCATGGCTCCAGCGCACAGTATGTTAGCGCCCGGCAAGCACAGTCATGGACTGCTGTGACTCCGCAGCAGACTTGGGCTTCACCTGCGGAAGTTGTCGACCTTACATTGGATGAGGATAGCAGACGTAAATACCTACTGTAATACAGTGTCACTGTGTTTCCTCTGCACTGTTCCCTTCTACTTCCTCTCCTCCTCCTCTTTGTGACATGGAAGTTCATTGTCATAGCTTCAGCCTCAGAAGCTGTTTGTGGCATTTGTATAATCAAAAACTCATGGAAAATTGCTCTCCTTCCCCCTCCTTTTTTTTAAATTAAAAGAAGTCACTTAGGAAAATAACTTATCACAGAGAAAAGAATTTCTTTTCTTGTTTCCCTCAGTAGGACTATGAGAATGATGACATTTATTAGATAACTTCATTTTACTTGGTGACTTTCAGTCTTAGGAAACTCTGCCCTCCTTTTAGAATGGTATTTTAATTACCAGGTAAAATGGATTTCAGTTTTTGAGTCTTGTATTTATTTTTCTGTGTAATAAAATTAATATGTAGACTTGACCACTGTCAGCCCACCCATTGGCACTCCTATCTTAGGGCATTTGCACACATATTAGTCAGGTCGTTACTGGCACCTAGTAGGGCATGTGCATTGAAAACCTGTCCTTAAAAATAGAAGACAGAAGTTAACTTTTTCTTTTAGCTTAAGTCTTCTGCCTTCTTCCCTGACTTTGCTCCTGGCTGACTTCCCACAACCCAAATAATTAACATGCCCTCTTTGTGTTTATAAATACTGCTAAAGTGACTTAGCTGATCTCCTTGTTGCAATAATTCATAACCCTTTGGAAAATATCTCCCTGTGGGGCAGAGGCATTTCAGATAGATACCCACCATGAGGCTTGAGCATCTGAAGAGAGTATTGAGAGATCCTTTCCCCTCCCTGGTTTGTTCAATGGGAGAAACAGAACCTATTACTTAGGTAGACTATGCCTAAGTATATATAGCTGGTAATATGAAAGCTGTGTGACTTCTAAGGCTATGGGCACTTGTAAATCTAAGAGGACAATGCCTTTTTCCATAGCCAGTCTCTCTAAAAAGGATGCATAACAACTGTTCATTGCTTGAGCTGAAGTTGGCCTGATGCTGTATTTGGGTATTTTTCTCCTCTACCTTTTAAAAGTGGAAAGATCAGAATGTATCATAGAAAATCAGATACGAAGCACATTAATGGCACTGTAGATTTTGCAGTATCTAACAGGAATTAAAAGGGGTAGTAGGAGCTTCAGGGAATTCAGGAAATGCCAGTGTTGGAGTTTATGGCATTAGTTACTACCTTTTTTTCCTATAACGTTGTAGTTACTAGTGAATTATTTTACAAGCAATACCTAGAATTAGAACACTATGTACTGTGCGCAGGGAACAGTGAAGTAACATTGGCGTAGAAGACCTCACTTTGTGTTTCTCCACAGTTTTTGTTTGCTTTTTTTTTTGGTTTCCATTTTCACCATACAGTGTGGCTATAGCCCTTTGCCTCCCTTCCCAAATGTCTTGGTGGCTCTTCCTTATCATGAGAGCATGAGAACTACCACATTCAGTTTCCATTCAGCGGACACATGTTTACCAAGTGCCTGTTCTGCAGGAGGCACTGTGTGGGGTGGTGCTGTGGGGCTGCTGTATTGAGCAAGACACTCCCCACATGCACAGGAGTCAGAGTCTGCCTGGCTCCACCTGCCTGGCCTTTTCTTCTATATTTTGTAAAGACTCGTTTATTCCTTCACCCTTCTTCCTGCTGTTTTAGTTCATCTGTATATCCTTCTATGGGAGTATATTTAAGCATGTGTTCTCTTCTGATAACATCTCATTTGATCTGGCCTCTGTTGTTCATCAACTTTTTATTTTCCTATGTATCTACTTTTAATAGATCAAGCTTTTGAAGAGATAGTGAGCCTCCAGTTTTAGCCCCTCATACATGGCCACAATTCTAGGCAAAAACCAAAGACCCAGAGGCCAGAGCAAAATAGGACCTTCTGCAGATTCACTACTGGTGTATCCTTGGACCTTCACATTTTACTTTAGGTTTAATTTATTGAATTTTACTGTTACACATTGGTTTTGACTTGAATTAAAATGCTAGACAGAGCAGAAATGTACAATTTCTGGTCTGTATTTTCCAGGAATATCATTGGGGAAAGAATAGAGTGAGTTATATGACTTGAAGTTTTTGCAGCTTATTTTTCCCCCAGTATCAGGGCAGAGCCCCATTTTATTTCATTTTTATTTTAATTTTTTGCCACACCTGGTGGCTTGTGGGATCTTAGTTCCCCAACCAGGGATCAAACCCACGCCCTCAGCAGTGAAAGCGCAGAGCCCTAACCACTGGACTGCCAGGTAATTCCCCAGAGCCCCATTTTAAAGAACATTTTTGCATTACCTGTTCTTACGTTAGTAGTATGTTTTGTTTTGTTCACTTCCATATAGCAGGTGATTTCCCAGGACATATTTTCTTTAGTCCCTCACAGTCATCCTTTAATGAGAATTCTTTCAGTTTGTTGTATGTACTGTGGGTTGGGAACAGAGAGTGGAGTTTTAACCAAGCTCTTTTCTGGCTTTTTGCTTTTGTATTGGGTTAAAGTTTGCCCTTACTGTCCCTTTTCCACCACCCTGACTACCTGACTTAGTGCACCAGAACAAAAATTAAGATGCAGAAAGCAGGGAGGGTAAGGGATGGTGGAAATAGTCAGCTTTTCTCCCTACTAGCTTGAGACTTTTCCACCTACTAACTAACTATAGAGAGACTGTGTTTCAACCCTTCTTTCATTGCCAGGTCCAGGAGAGTAGGGATGTGGTTTCTGGCAAGCTATTAATGATAAATTCTGTGGTAAATATTTTGACATTTAAAATTTCTTTAAAGGGGATCTTTTCTAACCAGTTTTGCATTTGGTAGCATAAACACTTTATACTTCACAGTCTCTTCAAAGTCATATCTCTGGTAAAATGGTACACTTTGGTCGTAGATTGTTTTATGGCACCAAAATGGCGAAGTGCCCCCCTTCCCTCAATTTGAAACCACAGAGTGGTAACTTAGCTATTGCATCACCATGACTGTCCTGCGAGATGTAAGTGCTGCTTGCTTCATTTTGATGGAAGGGGCCAAACTGAATGGACTCCATTATTCATAGCAACTGAGCATCCCATAAACTCTGCTTTCATTATTACCAGATGTGAATATGAACCATCTAATTTGCTAATTTAGTCAATTGTTCACTGTTACTTTTAGCAAATTAGCACCATAGGTAATTTAAAAATGAATTTGTTGCCTGCTTTTTATATATACTGTATCACAAGGTTCTTGAAAAAGCTGGGGGCACAATTTTGTCTTTTAGTTTAAAGTTTTTTGTTTTTTTTTTTAAAGGCAAAGAGTTCCCCCAATCCCTGTTTTTCAGTATGTGTATGATGCGACTTCCATGTATATATAAAAATGATTGCGCCCTAACCAAACTTCCTCAGATTGTGCACTGTTTGTTTAAAATAATCACGTATTTTAGTCCAATGCTGTTGTATTTTTCATTTTATTTAAAACACTACGTACTTCTTATTCTTTTAACAAGTTTTAAAGGGTAGTGATCTTAAAAAAAAAAATCACTGGATAACTAGGAAATGACTTTTTGTTGTTGTTTTGTTTTTTTAAAGAGTACAAAGGTCTTTAAAGCCTTCTGCTCCTCTTACCATGAAAGTGAAATGTTAGCCATTGTATGGCTAGGAACCAATGCACTTGGTGGTTCACAGACTGCTGTTGCTGGAGCGCGGACTTGATGCAGTGACGACAAATCATTGCTTAGAATTAATGTTTTAAAATGTGCAACTCTAGTTTTTAAAATAGAATTTGGTTCTTCTTTACGTTCATTATTTAGTTTTTGTTTCCATTTAGTATTTAATGGTCTTTGGAGAAAAAAAAATAAAACAGAGTGTTATATATATATTTTTTGGTGCAAGATAAGATTTTCTGTTTTTTGAAATAAGTCTGTAGCATAAAGGTTAAACTATTTTAAGACAAAATAAAATAGAGTGTATTTAAACAAAGATAATTTCTGAGGATTTTTTTTTTTCCTGTCTGCTTCAGTTAATTAGATGGTGCCTGGAGCAGCTCCCAAGTTAGCTTTTGGATGTGAGAGTGAATTATATTTTGTTATCAGATCTTATTGTTTAAGTTGCCTGATTTTTTTCTAAGCAACAGCTGTATCCTACTCCTAGAATGTTTTGCAAGTGGCCTTTGGTGTATTAGATCTAGATAAAAATAGTTTTGTACTAGCTTTCCTGTAGCCCCCACTTCCCGTTCCAGTTTGAGCCAGTGAGATTTCAAAGTCAACTAAAGGCTCCCTAGTGCTTGACCCCTTTGCTCCTGGGAACAAAAGTCAGCTGACAGTTACTTCCCAGAGTTCAACGTGCCAGGGTAAGATGCCGTGACTGCGTGCACTTTGCTCGTGGTTCAAGCAAATATAGGATGTTTCAAAAATAGCCTAAAGAATTTTCCTCCTAATTTGGTTCTATTTTCAGGTTTTTAATTTGGTTATCAAAATGATAGGACTACTGTATTAGCATTTTATTACTTTTGTAACTCTGCATCAAGGAGAATGAGGAACCAGAGAGAGTAAGGCCTATGTTTATTTAAATATTCACTCCTGGATCTCTTCATGTTCATCGAATTCTTGTTCTAATTGCACCGGAAAGAGATCTGTTATCAGGAGATGTTTTTAGTTTTTGAAAATGGTTCTTTTATACTCCCTTGTGTCTGAGACCTAGACATGTTAGTACCTATGAGAAATTTCTTTTCTTGGGCTCTAGAGGAAATTTTTTTACTTAAGAGTCTTGCTTCTGAACCCTTTTGCCCTTGGAAGCTACTTTTGAGGAATAGTAAGTAAAGGCATGAGTAAGTAAAATAATCAGTGGCTAGTAATGAATCTCATTCTGACTTCCTCTTTCTATGTTACACTGGCTTTTGGCCTTGCCTTCTCTTGAAAGTAAAAGTGTTAGTTGCTCAGTTGTGTCCAACTCTTTGCGACCCCGTGGAATGTAGCCTGCCATACTCCTCTGTCCATGGGATTCTCCAGGCAAGAATACTGGAGTGAGTTGCCACTTCCTTCTCCAGGGG